AGGAGTTCTCTGCTAATTCTGGGCTTCTTCCCTCTCCATATGAAGTTGGTAATCAGTTTTTCCATTTCTTTGAAGAAAGATGAGGGTAATTGTATCAGGATTGCATTAAACTTATATAGTGCCTTGGGCAGAACGGACATCTTTACTATATTGAGTCTTCTAATCCACGAGCATGGGATAGTCTTCCATTTGTTGAGGTCACTCTTGGTTTCTTGTAATAGTGTTCTGTAGTTTTCCTCATGTATATCTTTTGTTCTCTTAGTCAGGTATATCCCTAGGTATTTCAATTTTTGCTTGGCTATTGTGATGGGCACCACCTTTTTGAACTCCTCTTCTGTGGTCTTATCCGATGTGTATACCAGTCCAATGGACTTCTGTTTGTTGATCTTGTATTCTGCCTCTCTGCCAAACTCCTCTATTGCTTCCAGTACTCCCCTTGTGGAGCTTTTGGGATTTCCATATATAAAATCATATCATCTGCAAATAAACATAGTTTCACCTCTTCCTTCCCCAGACAAATACCTTTGATGTCCTTTCTTTGCCTTATGCTGTTAAAACTAAAACCTCCAGTATGATGTTAAATAGGAGTGGGGACTAGGGACATCCTTGTCTGGTCCCCTTTTTCAGTGGGATTGTGTTAGTCTTTTCTCCCTTGACTGTTGGTTTTTCATATATAGCTTGTATTGTCTTGAGGAATTTTCCTTCCATTCCTATCTTCTCAAGTGTCTTAAACTGGAATTGGTGTTGAATGTTGTCGAATGCTTTTTTACATCTATCAATATTATCATGTGGTTCTTATAGTTTTCCATGTCAATGTGGCGAATGATACTAATGGTCTTTCGTATGTTAAACCATCCCTGCTTCTCTGGTATGAATCCCACTAGGTCATGGTGAATTATTTGTTTGTTTTATATACTTTTGTATTCTATTGGCCAGTATTTTGTTGAAGATTTTTGCATTGATGTTCATTAGGGATATTTGTCTATAGTTCTCGATTCTTGTGGGATCTTTGCCCGGATTTGGTATCAGAGTTATACTAACTTCATAGAAGGAGTTCAGAAGTTTGCCGTCTTTTTCTATGTTCTGGAAGAGTTTGTGTAGAATTGGTATTAGTTCTTCCCTAAATGCATGGTAGAATTCTGTGAAGCCATCTGGTCCAGGGAATTTTTTGTTGGTAATCCCTTTGTAACCTTGTCTATTTCTTCTGTTGCTATCGGTCTGTTGAGTTTCTTGACATCCTTTGGGGATAGTCTAGGGAGGGATTTTTTTTCCCAAGAATTTGTCTGTCTTCCGAGTTCTTGAATTCATTATGGTATAATCCTTCATAGTACTGTGTAATTATCCTTTTGATTTCATTAGGGTATGTTGTAATGTACCCTCTTTCATCCCTCATTCTTACCTTTGAAATTTGTTCCCTCCTCTCTTTGATTAGGATTGCCAGCGGTCTGTCAATTTTGTTTATCTTTTCAAAGGACCAACTGTTAACAGCATTAATTTTTTCCAGTTTTCTTATTTTCCTCTCCTGAATCTCAGCCCTGATTATTATTATTTCTTTTCTTTTGCTATTAGTGGGATTTTCCTGCTGACTCTGCTCTAGTTGTTGTAAATTTTGTGCCAACATATCAATCATGAGTCTCTCTTCCTTTTTTAGGTGTGCATGTACTGCTTTGAAACTTCCTCTGATAACTGCCTTTGCTGTATCCCATAAGTCGTGTTCTCATTCTTATTGGTTCCTAGAAATTTCCTAATTACATCTCTGATCCATGCCAGTACGCATTCCTTTTGCAATAGAGAGTTATTCATCTTCCAATTGTGTGCTCTTGTTTTCTTCCTCTTCCTTTTGTTGATTTCCAGCCTTGTGGCACAGTGGTCAGAGAGAGAGGTCTGTATGATATCAATGTGCTTAAATTTATGTAGACTCGCCTTATGCCCCAGCATGTGACCTATCTTCAAATATGTGCCATGCCAGGGGCTTGAAAAGAATGTGAATTTCTTTGTATTTGGATGAAAAGCTCTGTCAATATCAGGTCAAGTTGTCTAATTGTAGTGTTTAGATGTCTAGCTTCCTTGTTGAGTTTCTTTCCCTGTGATCTATCTTTCTCAGAGAGCGGTGTGTTGAAGTCACCCACTATAATTGTTGAGGCTGTGATTTCTTTTTTCATCTTTTGTAGTGTGTGGTTGACATATTCAGTGGGTCTGTCATTCGGGGAGTATATGTTTACAATGCTTAGTGGTTCTTTGTCTTCCATTCCCTTGAGCATTATATAGTGTCCCTCCATATCTCTTTTTATGGCTTGCACTTTGAGGTCAGTTTTATCTGAGATTAGGATCGCAGCCCCTGCTCTTTTTGAATTGCTGTTTGCTTGGCATGCCTTTCTCCAGCCTTTGATTCTAAGCCTATTTTTGTCTGTAGCTTTGAGATGTATCTCCTGTAGGCAGCAGATTGAGGGGTTGTGTTTTCTAAGTCAGTCTGCTAGTCTCAGTCTTTTAATGCCTGCGTTCAGTCCATTGATATTTAGGTTATTATCTCCATCTGCGAATTCTGTGATGTCATCTTATGCCTTTTGTGTTGGGTGTTTTCCTACCTTCCTTTCTTATTAGTGCATGTGTGTGCGCGCGCGCACGCGTTATCTTGGGGCTGTTTTCTCTTTGTTGCCCTCTGGGTGAGGTTGTTCTATGTAGCAATCTCTTATTTATGTTCAGTGAGTGTTGTTCTTCTGCCCACTGTGGGTTGGCAAGGATCTTTTTTAGGCCTGAGTTTCTTCTAATGTATTGTTTGAGTTTTTCCTTGTCGGGAAAGACTTACTTCTCCTTCTTGATAGATAGTTTGGCTGGCTAGAGTATTCTTGGGTTTGTGTTATTTTCCTTCAATTTTTGGAATATGTTACTCCACTCTCCTCTTCTTCATAGTTTCTCCAGATAGGTCTAAGCATATGCTTATTTGGGAACCTTTATATGTGATTGCTTGTTTTTCCCTAGCTGCTCTCATGATTTTCTCCTTTTCCTCAAAGTTGGATAGTGTAACTATTTTTTGCCTTGGTGACGTCTTCTTGGGATTCAGTCTAGCTGGTGTTCTTTCAGCCTCCTGAATGGTTGCCTGGTTTTCATTCATTAAGCTGAGCAAGTTTTCCTCCAAGAATTCTCTCACTATTGTTGCAAATGACTTCTTTGCTGTGTCTTCCTCCGGTAATCAATTATTCTGATGTTGTTCCTCTTCATACCATCAGTCATAACTCTTAGGTTTTCTTTAGTGTCTCTAATGATCATATTAGATTTTTGTTCGTGTTTATTAAAATCTGCTTGGCTGTCCTCCAAGTCACTGATGCGGTTCTCTGCTTCCTCCAGTGGATTCTTGAGGTCCATGAGTCTGATACTAGTTTTTGTTATCTCCTCCCTAAGCTCTTGTATTTCCCTATGGTGTATGGACTTTATCTCCTCTATCATTTCATCCTTTTTCTGTATTGTTTCCCTTATATCCTGTATGACTAAAAGCAGCATTCTTAAAATTTCTTTATGTGCCAGATCAATGTCTGCTTCTTTTGTGCACATCATTAGGTTCAGGACATCTTCTGCCATTGCCTTTTGTTTCACCTGTTTTCTCGTTGAGGTTATTGGGGCTAATTGCTGTTTGCTTTGAGTTGTTTTAGAGGAGCCAGGTGCCATTTTCCAGGGAGTAGAAGAGCACTGTCTCTGTCTGAGACTTGTAGGAATGCTTCTTCAAACTGCCTACAGCTAATTTCATTATGGAATAAGCCTACCACTTTATCCTCCTGGGGCTTCACTCTCAAGGGGAGTGCCACAGAAGGTTGGTGGGTTGCCTGCTTTGGTGTAGAACACCGAGAATGGTGGGCAGAATTGCCCTGGTCAGGTAGGTCACTGCAGAGGTTGGGCAGAGGTTCCTGCAGCAGCTTGGAACATTGGCGAATGTTGGCCAAGCTACCTTAGGCCGTGTAATGCACTAAGGTAGGCGGGAAAAGTTCCCTCAGTCAAGTGGGCCCACAGAGGAAAAATAGGAGCTCCCCCAGCCACACGCACAGGAATTCCCCGGTAAGACATTGAGCAGAATATCCCCTGGTGGAGCCCGTGGGCTTTCCCCAGCCTCGGGCTATGCTGCACAGGGTGGAGCTCACCTCACTGGGTAGGGAGCAAGCGTAAATTCCCTAGGCTAAGGGGAGTGGTTTGAAAGTCGGCAGTGGTGTGTGAGAGAACAGGGAAGAGACAGAGGGGAAAAAATAATCTAAGCCCGCTGAGACCGTGGGGGGATAGAGGAAAGAAAGGGAAACAAAAGTAACAATAAAGCTGAGCTGCAGTCCCTGCCAGTGCGCTGCAAGGGTTTAATCCCTGCTCCAAGGTGGCAGCAGTGTTGAGATAACCCCCCTGCACTGTCTCCAAATGGTCCCATCTCTGGCCAAGACAGTGGCATGGCTAAGGTCAAACCCTAGTCGGCCTCCACTGTGGTAAGCCAAAAGCTCCCAGCCCCTCAAAACCTTATGGGTCTGTGCCTACTTATCTTTATGATGCTCCTCCTATGAGCCAGCAGTGTTAAATTTCCCTCTTAGTAACTCTCCTGCGCTGATTTGTGCAGAGTCCCTCTGGTATGTGTCACTCAGTCGCCATCTTCCTGGAAGTCCCCCAAAGACTTTATTCTGTTAGGTGGTAATAGCAGAGAATCCCAGATGGAATCATGTGTCACCACTGCCTCAGTCACAAAAAAACAACTTACTTTGTGTCAGCTCTGTGCTACTCTTGGCAGAACGGGAGCTGAGGTTTGCAAACCTAGTTGTAAAGGGCTGGGGTAGGATGAGGCAGTTCACCTGTGACCTCTTCCTGTTAGATTTTTTTGTGTACTGAGAGCATTGAGATGATACTGGCAGTTACATAACCAATCTGAGCTTGATTTTTTTCCATCCTGACCTCAAAGCTTGTAGAGTCATCTTAGGCATCGTGCTGAATGAACGGGCTGGGCTGCTGGCATCCAGGTGGCCGTTGGCATGTGACACCATAGCACCAGTTACTTACTTTGCTGTACCTCCGTTAAAACCAGGGTCTGCCTGTCCTTTTGATGAACTGTGTCTTCTCCTCCTTGCAGGCCGTCACTATGGGGCTGTCAGTTGTGAGGGTTGCAAAGGTTTCTTCAAAAGGAGCGTGAGGAAAAATCTGACCTACAGCTGCAGAAGCAACCAGGACTGCATCATCAATAAACACCATCGGAACCGTTGTCAGTTTTGCCGGCTGAAAAAATGCTTAGAGATGGGCATGAAAATGGAATGTGAGTAAGATTATTAAAATTCATAGTGAGTCAACAGGGAGGGAAGAAAATGAGCAAGAGTCTATTAAAGTGAAGGTTCTGTATCTTTTCACTGAAGTATTGAAGAGAAACCATCTCTTCACCATTCATTCTGTTTGCCCTCTGGGTCCTTAGGAGGCTCAGAGTCAGTAGAGGTTGGTAAGTTCCTGTGGTGTGTGGAAAGCGCTATTCCAAGTCAATTTTGAGGAAAGCCCAATGGCGTGGTATGAATACAGGCTTTAGAATAAAGTCATGTCAGAGCACTGCCACTTAAGAGCTCTGAGGCTTTAAGAATACATCACCTTTTTCAGCCTCCATGCCCTCATATGTGAAACAGAATCCCCTCCCTCACCCAGACTGTGGATTAAGTGAGCCTATGCTTATTCAATGTTTTCTTAGCCCCTGCATTCAATAGATGCTTATAAAACCAAAACTTACTGCCACTGAGTTAATTCTGCCTCATAGTGACTCTGAAGGTCAAAGTAGACCTGCCCTGTGGGTTTCCGAGACTGTAAGCTTTATGGAAACAGACTGCTACATCTTTCATTAATGGAATGGCTTGTGGATTTGAACCACCCATTTGGTTTGCAGTCAAGCGCTTTATTGCATGACTAGAGCTCCTTTTTGCTTATCACAGGCACCCAGAAAATTATCACCATCACCACTCACCCAGTCCCATTAGGGAGGCAGAAAGAAGTACTGAGGTAAATTGTGCTTGCTATGGTAGGAATTTGCCCCTGGATTGATTCTGTTTAAGAAGCCTGGTGCCTAAGTGGTTTACATGTTGGAGCACTAACTGAAAAGTTAGCAGTTTAAGACCACCAGCTACTATGAGGGAACAAGATGAGACTGTCTATTCTCATAAAGATTTACAGCCTCTGAAACTCAAAAGGCTACTTCCACTCTGTTCGGTAGGCGTGCCGTGAGTTGGAGTCAACTTGATGGGATTGGGCTTTGTTTCTGTGTAAAAGACATGTTCTACATGCCCCTCACTCTTTTGTAGAAGTATTTACTAGAGAGTATAAGTCTGGAGCTCCCAAACCTCCATGGCAGTTGCAAAGCCCTCTGTGCAGCTGGAGTTCTGGAGGGAGAACTATTTCCCTGAGTGTGTGACGGCCAAATAAGGTCTTGCTCCCTGGGCCCTTTGGCTTCCGTAGCCAGAATATTTGGGATTAAGAATTCCAAAAGCATATCCTTATCTGCAAGGACCAGTTAGCATTTGGGTCTGCTTCTCACCTAGTGGTAGAAACTAAATAACCAGGATCCAAGACAGGAAATAGAGAGAAATCCACTAAGTTTGGGCTGTGTAGAAAAACAGAGGTTGGTGGAAGAAGGCACACTGGGCCTTCCAGCATGGAAAAAGTCAGGGGTGCTTGACCAAGCCTGGTTATCTGGAGCCTGGAGCCATAGGCTCCTGCTAAAGGTGTGGCTCTTTGCTCATCTCCTGCATGATTCCATAGGAAGGCTGGACACCAGAACAGATATGTTAGTGTTTTAGGAAACGAAACCCTGCAAAATTCACCCAGGAAACAAATGCAAATGTGTTTGCTCTTTGAAAACTTAAAAAGTATCAACCTGATTTCTGCCCAGTGTGGTTTTGTTTTCTTTTGCTTTTTTAATTACTCAGCATGTTGTTTTTTCTGGCCTACATTGATAAGTTGTTATATTTTTCAAGAGTGAAATTTTTATTTAGAATATTGATGTGGAATTAGTCTTTTCGAAACACAGCTGTACAAATTCAAGACTCAACTGGATTTCAATTTGGTTAGCAGGATGTCTGAATTCTAGTCTCTGGGGCTTATCCCTTATTCCTTTCTTTATAGCATCTTTGCTTTCTGTCTGGCTTGCAGACTTGTGTTTATACCAGATTTCTGAAAGATTGCTAGTGTGCTATAAAAGTGACACCCATTAGACAATTTGCAGACACTGTGATTTCAGGCTTCCATTTGGAAATGAGAATGGTTCCTCTACAATGCATGGCATGGACAGACTTTTTGTTCAGGCTCTCTAGCAGAAAATGAGGCATTTCCATACCTGTATGGGGAGCAAGAAGTGAAAATTCAGAGGGCTCAATGTGGGCCTCCTCCATCGTTGTGCAATTGCCCTGCTGTAGTTTCTGATTACAACACCTGATATCCTGAGCTCTTCTTTGTTAACTTCTCATTTCATATGCCACTGTTTGAGCTTGGACCTTTCTCTGCTTTGCTAAGGAAGTCCACCATGAAAACCAAGCTGAACTAGTCTAGCACCAGAGCTTAGCATCCCTTCAGTAATGACTAGTCTAAGACCTCTTACTTTACCATGAAGGGTCCAGTTTTTATTAATTTGACTTTTTTCCGTACACCTGAAAATTTATGTTGTAATTTAAGCTGTACAGAGTGAACGGAAGCCCTTTGATGTACAGCGGGAGAAACCAAGCAATTGTGCTGCTTCAACTGAGAAAATCTATATCCGGAAGGACTTGAGAAGCCCTCTGATAGCCACCCCTACGTTTGTGGCAGACAAAGATGGAGCAAGGTCAGTACTGTGGCTTCACAAAAGGCTAGGTAGCATCAGGAGCAGCCCTCCGAGCTGATTGGAGGAGACACAGATTTTCCTTGGAAAGGAATCTTTTCTGGCTCCCTGCCCACCGGCCACAGCCTTATTTTGCTGCCTCCCCCTTGCTGGAGCTCTTCCAGTCACACCTCTGGATAGGTCTGAAGAGGGCCCAAGTCACCTCCTGCTAGTTTAGGCATCATTTAATGTATAGGAAAATGTCTGTTCCATCATTCAAAATACTGCTTTTGGGGGGGGCAGTACAGACGATAGACATAAATCCCAGGTGAAGTCCTAGATCATCTGAACTGCAGAAAAGATATTTTTTTATATTCTCTTTAATGTAATCACTTGATTTAATTTAAAAGGAACAGAAAGAGGACAAACAAGAAATCCCGAAGTTATCTGGAGAATGGGAGTTTTGGTGGGTACCTTGTTAATCTAAAACTTAAGCCAACTCTGTTGGTAGCACTGCTGCCATAGTCTCCAGTCAGTCTGGAAAACTGGTGGCTGTGCATTTATCTGTTGGATGCTACATCAGACCCACAGATTGGACTTATTTGCACGTCTCCATGCAGAGAAGAGAATGTTACTCAGTCACTTCGAGAATGCATCTAGCTAGAGTTTTCATACTATTCAGACACTGGTGTGCACTGGAATGGTTAGAGAAGTACAGTGCAGTCTCGCTGTGCATAAATGTTGGAAGCTACTCTGGGTTTCTTTATGTCTTAAATAGACAGACTGGTCTTCTTGATCCAGGGATGCTTGTGAACATCCAACAGCCTTTGATACGTGAGGACGGCACAGTTCTGCTGGCCACGGACTCCAAGGTGATGCTCTGTACCTCTGCCCTCCCCTCCTCCACAATGCTGACGGTGTGTTGCTGCTTTCACTATGAGCGCCCATCCTTCTCTCAGGCTGGCAACAACCAAATGAGAAGCCTGAGCTCTGTCTGCTTGCTTTTGTTGTAGCACAGCCTTCTGTGATGTGTTTGCAGAATGTGGATGGCTTTGCAGAAACGTCAGTCAGAGCTACCTCAACATAGTCATAACACCTCAGAGGTTAGAGTTCCATTTAGTGAAGGTTCAATGTTCTGTTCTGTTGAGGTGTTTCCCCCTGGCACACACACTGTTTGAAGAAGTGGGAGCTGTCCCCAAGAAGGCCTTTTCAAAGGCCCTCAGTTCCTTTTTATTAGATGATATTCAGAAAGAAATCCAACCAGGCTTCTAATAATTCTAAAACTTGCAGGAGTAAGTCAGTCATAGTGGTTGTAACTTGTGGGCAGTGATGCTGGTTCATCTGAAAGAGCGAGAAAGGCTAACTCCTATGAAGATAACAAGAAAAGAGTTTTGCCAAGCCAAAGGACTCCACTGTTCTCTATGATATCCGGCTGCAAAACTGATGGCCTTTGTTTTTCTAGTTTTAATCTTCCTGAAGTGAAGCGTCTAGCTTCTACTTTGAAAAAAGTACTGCCAGCTTTTGAACCAGAGCTAAGAGGCAGGGTTGTTTCTCATCCTGTCTCATGCACACCCAGGAAGGACTGCCCTCTTTTGGAAAGAAAAGACCCTTGGCTGGCACAGAAACCTGCCCATTCGTCCCTGGACTGGGCTCGGAATTGCTTGTCCTTTGTACTTTGTTAATGTGTAGGACTGTGCTGTGTGTCCCATCGAGCTCGCTGTTCATCACCCTGGAGACATTCTGACTGCACCATAGGGTATAAAGAAAGCATAAGCCTAAAAGGAAGGCCGTCCTGCATCACCTTATTAATACAGCCTGACCACCAAAGGGTTTCCTGATAAGCATTCTACTGTGCGGTCTATAAGAAGGGATGAGAACAAGAATACAAACAAAAACCCATACCCTGTCTAGTCACCCCCACACTCCTTCCCAGCTGTTGCCAAGTTACAATCTAGTTTTAATCTGTAATTTGCCTATTCTGAACATTTCATATATACAGAATCATGGAATACATGATCTCATATCTGTCTTCTTTCACTCAGGAGAATGCTTTCAAGGTTCATCTATGTTGTAGCATGTAGCAGTCCCTCATTCCATTGTGTGGATATACAAATTGTATTTATCCACTCATCACTTGGATAGACCCATAGCAGATACACAGCTTACAAATACTTTGTCCCATTCTATGGGCTGTCTTAACTTTCTTGATCATGTCATGTTAAGCACAGACATTTAAAATGTTGATGAAGTTCAGTGTGTCTGAAACCACATGTAGATTTATGTAAGCGCTACACAGCCAAGATACAGTCAGAACTACACCATCGCCAGAAAGATCCCTGTGCTGGCCCCATACTCACACCCCTTCTAAAAAGGCTGTTCTAAGCCAGGACTTTGAAGCAGGTCTGCCATAGCCCTCAGAACAAGCAGATCTGATTTTTTTTTTAATGGGAACAACAGGTAGGGCGCCCTGTTAGTCCTGGATCCTAAAAGGACTCATCTCAGGCTTTCAATCTCTGATTTTCCCCTTCCTGGAAATTTATATTCCCACTCACCCCCTTTTTACAAATTTGGGTCTGTTCCGATTTCACTGCATAGGCCTTGACTGAACCAAACTGAGCCTGCCCAATGCCCTATTTTAAACCAATAATTGTGAGAGGGCTTGAAAAGTTCTTGGGAAAATTCCATTATCTTTTAATTCCATTTTTCCATAAGCTTTTTGAAGCCCCTTGTTAACCTTTGCTGACCTAACAGTTATTTATTGTCTGTGTGTCATTTTTGATGTTGTGAATTTTTGTTTAATAGGCAGAAACAAGCCAAGGAGCCCTGGGTACACTTGCAAATGTAGTGACTTCCCTTGCCAACCTGAGTGAATCCCTCAACAATGGTGACGCATCGGAGATCCAGCCAGAGGACCAGTCTGCAAGTGAGATCACCCGGTATGAGCCTGAGGATGGGGTTCCCCTCCTGACATCACACACACTTAGTGTGTTGTGATTGTGTACCCCCACCCTGTGTTTAATCAAGGGTTCACAATGACCTTGCACATCTATATTCCTTGCCATTTTATTGAGAAATGTGGACCCTCTTACATTATGTAGCATAAAGCAATCAAAGATTTTTTTTATTCCAGACAATAGAAAAGAAAATTGGGTAACTCAATGGAAGCAAGCAAGAATTCAGTGGCTAGATGTTATTTGTATTCATCACTGTATATTGCACCTGAATGTTAATAATTCCTCTCCTTTTCACTTCTGTTTTATCTTATTTTTCTTATTCATATTTTTTCCAAATAGTGAGTTTAGACCTTAAAACCACCAGGGCAGATAGACATAGCTGGTAGAGAGCATGAGCTGGTCCCAGACGTCTGTAACTGGCTGCTGAGGATGTTTCTTCTCTGCAGCTTGGCTCTTGTGTTTTGCTCCTTTCAGGAGGGACCAGTCAATCCTGCCCATTGTGCCAGTCGTCAGGTGAGGAGCTGGGGCCACACGAACGCTCTGCCCGCATGTTCATGTGTGGTCAGACAGCAAGATGAAAATCTAGGTCCTATGGAAAGAGGATGGGATTTGAGTAGAATTCTGGTTACACCGCTTAACTAGTCGGGTGGTCTTGGACACGTTATGTAATGTCTCTAAGCCTCAGTTTTCACCTCTGTAAAATGTAGAGAATTCCTTCTTTGGAGGGGATTAAACAAAATAGAAATTTTGTGTGAAAATCAATAGTATATTTAGGTCAGTGCCTGAGATAATATATAGCCACTCAGTATAAATACATGCTTTCATTGTTACCTCAGCAGGTAAAATTTAATTGTTTCCCCATTTCATTATTTTTCTAAATTTTATCTCAGCTAGAGCTCTGTCTTGTGGTTCCCACCCCCCAATACCCACACCCACCCACCCCAAAAATCTGTGGATTCACAGCACTTAATGCTTAATTTTCACCTACAGGGCATTTGATACCTTAGCTAAAGCACTTAATACCACAGACAGCTCCTCTCCCCCAAGCATGTCAGATGGAATAGATACCAGTGGAGGAGGGAGCATCCATGTCATCAGCAGAGACCAGTCAACACCCATCATTGAAGTCGAGGGCCCTCTCCTTTCAGACACACACGTCACATTCAAGGTGAGTTCTGTTGCCACGGGGTCTGTATCAAAGTTTAACACTCAAACTTTGGAGTGAGTTCATCCTGGCTTCACACAGGACTTTGTGCCCCAGAACAGTTTTCTGTTAGGGAACATGTGCATTCTTCCTTTGCTCACAGTGCCACATGGTTCTGGAGGTGACCCTGAAGCCAGTGACCCTCATTCCAAGATGGTCTAGACCTTTTTCTCCAGTCCTCCCCCAGCCAGGCACGGGCCACTTCATCTGCTCTCTGTTGACAAGAAGCCCTGTCTAAAATCCCTGAACCGGCTGCTCTCCTGCTCGCTGCGGGCCCCAACCGCTTTCCCCTCTGGTCTAGAGCCACAGAAAACAAGTCGTAGATGTTCTGCAAGCGTGCTCTTAGGACCTCCGTAGGAGTCTTCATTCTTTATCACTGGCCTCGTTTTTCTGCAGGGCCTTCCTGTGACCCTACAGCTCACTCACTCTCCAGGCCTCCAGACTGAGTCTTCTTTGTCCTCAGTTTTTCTTGGGGTGGGACCTGGCCAGTTGTTTCAGGGCTGTTGAGTGCCTACCCAAAAGGTGTCTGGGATGTAAATCCTCAGTGAGATTTCTGCTTCAGGTAAAGCACCTTCTAAATCAAAGAGGCCTCTGCAGTCCAAGCTAGGTTTTGTAGTGCTGGAATTTCACCCCAATGCTAGTCCGTGAGGTTAACTCCCCTATTTTCTTGATTCAATTTAGACTTTAATCTTTGGCTTGAATGGAATTGCCTTAGAGCAGATAACACCTTAGTTGTGGCAAGAATTGAGGGGTATGTTTATCTGAGACAGAGCGAGTGTGACTGCTATTGTTAATAAGGCACATCAAAGATGCATGTTGACAAAGGGAGGCATCCACCTGTCCCTCCTTTACCTCCTGTGCTGTGTGTCTCCTCTTCCACAGCTAACCATGCCCAGCCCGATGCCAGAGTACCTCAATGTGCACTACATCTGCGAGTCTGCGTCTCGCCTGCTCTTCCTCTCAATGCACTGGGCTAGGTCAATCCCAGCCTTTCAGGCACTTGGGTAAGTAGTCTTTCTCTGTGTGTATCCTAGAAATGATCTGGAAGACCACCAAGAGTCCTTCCAGTTTAACTCTTTTGTGGCCAAGGTCAGGTAACCCTGAGTTTCTTCCTAAAGAAACTGATGGCAGATGGCCATGGTTGCCAGTTCTGTATTGTTATTCAAACATTGAGCCTCCCACGGTGCCCGGAAATAGAGTGAATGGAAGGCAGGGTCATCCCTGGCCTTGTGGAGCTTTTAATCCAATGGACTATGCAAAGTTTGATTTGCACACAGCTCTGGGCCTTTGACAGCATAAGGAACTTGACATGTGAAACAGCAGAGTGTATCTGTATCCTCAAACAGAATGCACCAGTGTACATTTTTTCCAGTTGCTCACCTCCATGCCCACCAACACTGCATGAAGCCCCTTAGTACTTTACTGAGCATCACATATGTTGATCTTAATCTACACCTCCCTCCCCCTTGCCTCTGTCCCCACACCAGTCCATTGTGCCAATACCAGCTCTGTCATTGTGCCACAATATGGGTGGGAGATAGGTAGCTACATAAAAAATGAAAATAAATTGAGAGCTAATTCACATTACAAGGTAATGTTCCTAAGGCAGCATGGGGGAAACACCAGAATGGAAGGGCGATTTGTCTTATGGCTTAGATCACTGGTCTTTGGAGCAGACAGACATGTATTTGGGGCCAACTGTGCAATCTTGAGCAAGACACTACCTCTCTGAGCCTCCTGTTGAGGGTCTACAAAGCACAAAGGTCTTAAGTCCTGAATGAGGATGGAGTGGTGGGGGTACTCAGAAGTATACAGTGTGGTGTGTGGAACATGCCCTCTTGTGGTTAAAATGGTCATAGCACTTTCTGATAAAAGGATTGCTGGCAGGATTGGGATCCTTGCTCTCAGGGAGAGCTATGCAAGTAAGTGGGAATGGTAATTAACTGGGAAATGGCCTGTCCCTCCCTTTGGGTGTGGTGTGACTCCAAGGCGTTCTGTTTATGATCCAAAGCACTGGTGAGTAACTAAATCTTTGTCACTGGATTTAAAAATTGTTCTTATTGCCCTAAAAGAACCTTTCCTATTTGAGCAATTTAAAACTTACTCCACAGGGTTTCTCTACCTGTGCCTGGAATGGAATGGAATGGAATGGAGTAGAACACTCTAAGATCAGATAAACCATACTTCAGTATTTAAAGTAGTTTCAATGATAGTCTATATCTCATTCTTCATAAATTAGTGTTCGGGGCTAGTGAGTACTGTAAAATACAAGGTGTGCCTCTGAGGGGTCTGGGCCTGGCACAGTGAGGAGCCCCTGATGTCATTGCCTGTCTGTGGTGGTGGTAGCCAGTGATGCACTTTGGTTCGTCTGGGCGGGGCCATCCTAGAGTCCCTGGGAGGAAATGGCCTTGTTAAATAGCCCATGCTCTTAAAGCCGCTAACATCTTGAGACAGGTGGTAGCATGCTGTATTTTATGGACTTCTGAGAATCAGGAGGTACTGTTTTGTGGTGGGTTGCGCATGTCATTCTGCTTAAAAATCCCAGGGCCAAGCTGGCAGCAGACTCCCTGCTTCAGTCTTCTCTCCAGGGTGTCTGCCATCTCCCTTCAGAATCTGGAGGCAGACGGAGGGTGTTTCCTTCCTTCGGAGCCCGTGTTCAGCTCTTGGTCCTGGGATCCCATAGCCACTTATGGCTGTAGGACCTGGAGCAGAGTCAAGCCATGACTGCCTGGGATTTAGAAGGTCTACAGGAAATTGGTTTAGCCATACCTATTAAAACTCCTCTGTATTTAAGTCTCAAGAACTTCTTAGAGATTGGCTTGGTTATCACATAGATTGTGGTTTTCATAAAAAATGATCATCCTAGGCCTTTAGCTAACACCTACTGAAACCACTTATTTTGGGAATGCTGGAATTTGATGCCTGCATGCTCCCCTCTCCTTGGAAAAGTGACAGCATGCATTCACACACACCTTTTTCTCTCTTCCCAGACAGGACTGCAACACCAGCCTGGTGCGGGCCTGCTGGAATGAGCTCTTTACTCTTGGCCTAGCCCAGTGTGCCCAGGTCATGAGCCTCTCCACCATCCTGGCTGCCATTGTCAACCACCTGCAGAATAGCATTCAAGAAGGTAGGGTTGGGCATGCCGGGGTGACATGTGTCCTGGTTCAGCCTGTGCTGTGGGGCAGAGCCTCGCCCTGACAAACACAAATTAGCTGACCTTGGTGTCCCACAGCATTCACAGGCCCGGGAGTTTGCCTGGGAAGCTGTGGGACCATTGTCCTCTTTTCACACAGTGAATAGTTGTGGGGAGGAAGGTGAGGGGACAACCAAAACAAGAGATTGAAAAAGCTTGTTTATTTCAATACATGGGCATACAGATGTGTTAATCTGGGTAGACTAGAGAAACAAGTTCATAGAGACTTATATGTATAAGAGCTTTTTATACAAGAACAATTTCAAGTCTATCAGTCCAGTATTACCCCATGTGTCCAATACCAATCTATAAAGCCCTCTTCAGACTCATGAAACACATGCAATGACGCCGAATGCAGGAAGATCACAGGCCAGTGGGTGGAAAGTCTTGTGGATCCAGTAGCAGTGGAATCATCTCAGTGCTGGCAGGGATCTCCACGTCACTCCTTCAGCTCCAGGGTTCTAGCTTAGCTCCATGTGTCTTCTCCACAAGAATGTCTCACAGGGAATGGGTCCCGCCTCCAGCGAGCTATTTATTTCCGTAGTGCCTCCAAATGAGATGTCATCAAGCTGTGACCTGATTGACAGGCTAAACTCCACCCCTTCACTCTTAAGTCTCAAATTGACAACAGATTATGTAACTACCACAGATGTTTTCAGAATAACCATGTCTTCCTTTATACATGTATAATGACCTCATTTTCACAACCCTGTAAAGTAGTGATTATCTCAGTTTTACATGTGAGGAAACTGAGGCCCTCATAAGGTTCCTGACTTGCCCCAAATCATACAATAAGTGGAAGAGCTAGGTCACATCTCGGGGTCATGCAGACTGCTCAGGCCATGGTGCATGTAGCTCATCCCCGCCTGTTCCATCACATAACATACTACAGACCAAGGTCCATAGTGAGCAGCTCAAGGGGTGAGACTAACACATACAGTCTGGGTAAGAAAAACTGACCTGCATTTTTTTGGGGGAAGATGAGTTACCTCGCCATGTTTATTTTTCTACTTACTCCCTCGGAATATTTATTCAAGGATGATTTTTAAGATAACTCTTAACCACATAGTGAATTTAAGTAAAATTTATTCACAATGAGCATAAGTTTTTGTCTTTTTCTTTTAACTAAGTGATACCAGTGCTTTTGGAAAAGTACTGCTATGAGAATTAAATGAGATTATCTATAAAATTGACAATTAATAATTGGCAACACATAATGTTCAGGTCAGTAAATATCACATGCCTGTAGAGATTTAGAAAATCTAACCATGGAGCTTCCTTAACATTTGGGTCCTAAGCAAAGACTAGAGGGAACTACCAATTTGTACTATAGGCTAATACGTACCCTTGCCTGGACAAGGGTCAGTGGAAGCTCACTAGCCTAGGTGGGTTTATTACTGTGGCAGAATTTATAGTGGAAATAGGGGTGCCTATTTACATTATGTGAAAAGAATTGGATTAGTTTCTGCACATCAAAAAGGCACCAATGACTTTAATGACAATTTGAGGCATCACTTCACTTTTAACTAGAAAATTAGGCTCTGGATTATCTGGAGCAGGGTCGGCAAACTGCAGCTCATGAGCCATATGCAGCTTTTTCAGTACACGCATGTGGCTCTCAAGTAACACTGAATATTTTTAAAGGTTATGATCAGATAATGTGGTTTCATTTGTTTGTAAAATATATTTATGGCTCTTGAATAATTTTTAAATTGTTGTGAGGGATAAGATTGGCTCTTCCATCTCAAAAAAGTTTTCCGACCCCTGATCTGGAGATAACTGCTGTTGTGTTTTGTTTTGCTTTGTTATACAATAAAATTTTTCTCCCATTTCTTTCGATCAGTGGCCTCTTGAAGAATCTGGTTTTGTTGTTTGTATCAGCATGTCTCTGATGGTCTGTAATGTTGATTTCTAGATAAACTTTCTGGTGACCGGATAAAGCAAGTCATGGAGCACATCTGGAAGCTGCAAGAGTTCTGTAACAGTATGGCAAAGCTGGATATAGACGGCTATGAGTATGCATACCTTAAAGCTATAGTTCTCTTTAGCCCTGGTAAGATATACGGTGGTGACCTTGTCAGTTTTCCAACTGTGTCTACTGCTATTTCGGCACATGAATGTGGCAAGCTTTCAGAGGTGTAGAGAGAGCCAAATTTAATGTGAATGATTGCTCTCGTAATTGATGTACTTTGCCAGCAAACATAAGCTCTTCCTATAAAACTTAAAAAAAAGCAAAAAGTTGTAATGCCTGGAAACTTCACATACTTCATAGACTTAATTTGTGTTCTTATTAGACCATTGTCCAAATACAATTATGGCATACAGAACAAAGCATACCATCCATCATCTTTTTAGCTTACATGAGGTTAAAGCAAAAGTGCTACAAAATCATAAAAACCTTTATTGAAGGGTAAAACTTTTATATCAAAGGGTAAAGCTTCTGTTCCTCAACATAGCCACCATCGAGGTTTATACACGTCTGAAGGCCACATTCCCATTTCTCTAACCATTCCCAGAATTCTGTGTGCTTTGATTTACACCACCTCAAAAGATCAATTTTGGCATCCTTGAGTGACTCAAAATGTGTTCTTTTGAAATGCTTTTGAAATTCAGTTTGGGGAACAAAAGGTAGTCAGAAAGGATAGAATCAGGATTGTGGGGTATGTGGGGTAGTTTCCCAAGGAAATTCTCATAAAACAGCTGTTGCTACCCTGGAAAAATGAGCCAGATATATTGGTATGATGAGAAATTTTTCTTCAGTGCAGCCTTCCTGGCCTTTCCCCCAAAGGTGCAGTTTTTAACTTTCTTAATAGTTCTTCATAAAAGCCTTAATGGTCATCCTTTGTCCTTTTAGAACATCTCTCAAGATTATATACTTTGGAGTCCAAAAACCATCACCATAACCTTCTGAGCTATTGTCTCTGCTTGAATTTTACTGGCCCAATAGATCTCCTCAGAAGCCACTGTTTTGGTTGGATTTTGCTCTCTGAATGATTGGTAAATCCAAAAATCTCATCCCCAATTACTTTTTGTATAAAACCATCTTCATTAGCTTAGAACTTGCTTAGAAAACTGGTAGAAAGAGCAGCTCTCTGAGCTAGATGATCTCCGTGCAACGTTTCTGGCCCCTATCCAGCTGAATGCTCACTGAGGCCAAGAGGAAACCTCTGGCGGATCCATGGTCTTGCATCAGTTCTGACTTCATTCCATGTTTATGTTTTGTTTCTTTCACTGAGGTCAACTCCCTCTCTTGGCTTATCTTTGAAGTCTTCCCGACCTTCCTTAAAACTTAGGCTTTTACTATAAATTGGTTTTTTGTGAGGCAGCATTCCTGTTAACTTGCTGCAAAGCTTCAATGATTTGAAAAGGTGTCCACTTGCATTTTGTGAAAATTTTGATATTGTCTCTGACTTCAAAGTCATTTTTCCCCATGGCAAAAAGGTATCCCAGCGCCCTTCCCACCCACCCCCAACAACAAGACTGAGACAAGTGTATGACCGAGAGAGCTTGTCCGCAGCTTATCATAGACACATATTTAAACTCATTTTGTTTGAAATAAACCCATGCATGGAATTCTAGTAGCAGTGCTTTTTAACTTACCCTCATGATTAAATACCTGGTAAGAAATTTTCATTTGTTAGTTTAAAAATCATGTACTGGTAGGAGTCCAAATGTTCAGAACCAGCCAGGTGGGCCTGCTAGGACAGTAACATCCAAACTGAGTCAGCATGCAAGAGTTTAATATGTTGTATTTGAAATGTTTGCCAGAAATTTGACCAAAATAAGTACTAAAAACTCTACGGTGAGGTTTTCCAAATATAAATGGGAATTCGGGGGCATTTTCTCTTTTCAGATCATCCAGGTTTGACCAGCACAAGCCAGATTGAAAAATTCCAAGAAAAGGCCCAGATGGAGTTGCAGGACTATGTCCAGAAAACCTACTCAGAAGATACCTACAGGTGAGACAAACGGCACACCATCGACGTGGGCAGCAAGGAGTGTGACTGGATACAGAAATGATGTTGTCAGTCATCCCCTTCCTGCTAGCCTGTAGAGGTTCCATTTGAGCACTCGTGGACTCCAGTTGTACAGCTCGTGGTAGAATGTGAATGCAATGTCGGGCGGAAAGGGGTCCCAAACAACAAGCCCAGTCCTAGCAGTTTGGCTCTGGACAAGCTTTCAGACTTCTTCTCTTTGCTCTGAGGAGGGAAGTCAGTGCTCCGTTTGTTCTACTCAAACTAACACTGTGCCCGAGGCTTAACCTTCTCAGGGAGACGCCCTTGTTCCAACTTTTAAAGATCTGCCCCTCTGTCCACTCAAGGCGGTGCTGAAGTACTTTACAGAGACAGAACCTGTAAAGAATTGGTGAGTTGTATAAGATAATCATTTATTCTCATACACTGATGGAAAAAAGTCTCCCTTTTCAAAGGAAAGTTAATTAACAGTAATTGATAGACAGCAAAAAAGGTAGCCTTTCTTAGGCAAATTTGAACAAGAAGACAGTCCTGGAAATGGGCAAAATGCACTGACAGGAATGGATAAGCTGGAGGCTACATAGCTTTCTGGGGCTCTGTTAAGAAAATTATGTGATATTTCCCTGTTCTTTTCCCCACAAAATAAATATCTGAGCATAATTTTTTAGCAAAACTGTTCGTCCAGGAAGCTGTATGGCCCCATCTACCCCCAGACTTCATTTCCCCTGCACACAGACTTCAGTCTCCAGGTTATCTGTGAAGCAGAAATACCCTAGGCAAGTGGTTCTCAACCTTCCTCATACCACCACCCTTTCATATAGTTCCTCATGTTGTGGGAACCCCCCAACTATGACATTATTTTCATTGCTACTTCATAACTGTCATTTTGCTACTGTTAAGAATTGGGCGACCCCTGTGAAACAGTCATTTGCGCCCCATCCCGCCCCTTCCCCCAAAGGGGTCGTGACTCACAGGCTGAGAACCGCTGCCCTAGGCCCAGGTATGGACATTTTCTATGGGGTTATTGGGGGCCACTGGCAAAGAGCTTGCTTTACTCAGACACATGCCTGTGTGTATGTGTCAGTCTGGGTAGACTAGAGAAACAAATTCATAGACACTCACGTATATAGGAAAGAGCTTTATATAAAGAGTAAATTGTACATTAAGAAAACCCCAGTCCAGATCAAGTCCATAAGTCCAGTATTAGCCCATGTGCCCAATACTCGTCCTTAAATTCTTCTTTAGACTCACGCAGCCATACAATAATGCCGAATGCAGGAAGATCACAGGCCAGTAGGTAGAAAGTCTTGTGTATCCAGTGACAGTAGAAGCATATCTGTGCTGGCAGGGGTCTCCTCGTGGCTCCTCCAGCTCCCAGGGTTCTGGCTGCATCAGTGTAGCTCCTTCAGGCTCAAAGTCAGTAATGACTCACAGGGAGTGAGCCTGTGTCCTGCCTCCAGCAAGCTATTTATATCCTTCCAGCTTCCGAATGAGGTCATCAAGCTGCGACCGATCGACAGGCTAAACTCCACCCCTTCACTCTTAGTCTCAAATTGGCAACAGATTATGTAACTACCATACCATGGCACAAATAGAGTTTTTGCAAAGGAAGGACCCATTTTCTACTGGACTTCCTTAAAACCTAATCATTAATCTGCATTAATTTCAACCTCAATATATATAGAACGGGACAAAAGGTTTTGTCATTAAAACAGTGTTGTGTGATCTGCCCACACTGAGAATCCTGAATGTAGGCAAGGTGTCCCCTCAGGTGGCCATGGACCTAATCCCACCATTTCTAGAAATGACTCTCTCGGGGGACTCCTGGCAGAGCCATTGCACCCTCTAGGTAGGTCATTTCACATTAGGAACCTCATGGGCCTTTAGAAATGCAGTGTAATGTTTTTGGGAAAATGAGCCATCCTAGTGTAGTTGGGGACCTAGTTATGTGAATCAGGTGATTTGGGCCAAAAATGAGAATGAGGCTTTTTTATAGGACTCTGAAACTCACTTAGGCAATTACCAAAGAAAAGACCATAGAACATTTCAATATCTGGTTTCATGTTAATTTTTTAATCTCTTTGACCTCTGTATCTTTTCTTATATTGCTAGTTCATCCACTATAGAAAAAGGAAAATAAAACATTTTGGAAAGAGGGGGGAAACTTTTAATTCAGTGGAAATGCCACTAAACAGAGATAATACTATTAACATTTTATGTACTTATTTCATATATATGTATATAATCATAGGCTACAAAAGGTTTTGTCATTAAAACAAGCCAAACCTTTTTGTTTCCATTTAATATACAATGAGCATAAATATTCCTCCTCTTCTTCATCGATGGCTAAGGAGATGCCATTGTTTCTTCAACATTTCCCAGCTGACCCAGCATAGAACTCTGATAGCTGCTTCTACCCTTCTCCCATTGTCTCCTGGGACAATTCTGGAAGTGGGGCAGCTGTACCACATGGAGTGTCTGTTTCAAATACACTGGGCCTAGAGATACACTCTCCCACCCATGATTTGTACAAAATGAAAACCAACTTAATTGCTCTGGTTTTTTTTGTTTTTAAATAATGAACTGAAAATTGTGGCATATCAAAAAAATATTTTTAATAGGATAAAACCACTCCATTACCCAGAGGTCAACCATTAGCATTCTAATGAACAGGCCTCTACAAATTTGCTACCTATACACAGGTCCACAAACACACACAGATGAGATTGTGCTGTACTTGTGGCTTCACATCCTAATCCTTAACATTTTTACTTCACAACATACTGTAGATGTTTTCCCATGCCAACAAACATACATATTATCCTGTTTTCAGTCCATCTGTAGCTTTCTATTATATGGAAACTATACTTTAATCTCTCCCTTATAAATTGACCTCTGGGTCTGTTCACTGATTTGTTAGTTGCAGTAGTTTTTATAAACAACAGTGAAGGGTGGAACATATTTGTATATACACTTGTTTGGTTTTCCTTTTCATGATAAATTCCTGCAAGAGGAACTGCTGAAATCAGAAAAGCAGGGGAGTGTGTGTGTGGTTGGTTTCATTTGGAAGAGTCAAAATAGGGTCTTGGGAAGTCGTCCAGGCCCAACTCTAAGGGTGGTCCCAAGCTCCCTTTCTCTCATGCCCCTTCCTCTTACAGATTGGCCCGGATACTTGTCCGACTACCGGCACTTAGGCTAATGAGCTCCAACATAACTGAAGAACTCTTTTTTACTGGCCTCATTGGCAATGTTTCAATAGACAGCATAATCCCATACATCCTTAAGATGGAGACAGCAGAGTACAACGGCCAGATCACTGGAGCCAGTCTATAGTGCACATCACACGCCTGCCGAGCTCATGGCAGAAGACCACCTCCAGAATCATCCAGACACGAGGAAATTAAAGTAATGGTATTTTGGTATGTGAACATATTTCCAGTATGCTAGCCATTTCTTACCTGGTTTCTTACCTGTTAATTCCTGAAAATAGCCACTAGAAGACTAGTAGGATCCTTTCCTGCCATAAGAAATGTTTTAATGCCTTTTGATGAAGTAACAGATTTTGGAACAATCTTTTAACTCAATTTGTATTTAGAAATTATCAAAGGGCGAAAAAAAAGTTTTATAATGTCAGAGACTAGTATTAAAACTAAAAAAAAAAAAGAACAGTATGTGTATATATGTTAAAATAACCTTGGAATTAATAGCTACTAATTACCAGGGTAATAATATTAGCACTTTCTAAGCACTTCTTGTCAATGCTTAAATGTTAACAACATTTTGCCTGTGGACAGGGCAAGTGAAAACTGTATGTCTTTTTGCTGAAATGCTAATGGTTTCTGTGAAAACTCACTAGGGTACAGGAGACAATCGTTTGTGTATGAGAGGGCATCAGTCCTAATTTTATGCACATGGTGGTGAGCTAACCCCCTCCGAAGGACTCATACATGGCCTACTGGCAAGCATGCAGTGAAAAGATGGTAGCCGGGTTGGTGGCGACTCAAACCAGAAGCTTCCAGCCTAGAGTTGCTGCCCGTCAGGTGTCCTGGTGTGTGAAAGGTTCCAGCCTAGAGTTGATGCCCGTCAGGTGTCCTGGTGTGTGAAAGGTGTCTGCAGACTCCTCAAGAACCTTTAGTTCTCCTCTGATAATGATTCTCAAAATCAGATCGCAACCAAGTCAGAGATGAACTGCCAGACAAGACATACAATCTCACAGCCGTTGAAACCAGCCCCAAATGCCTCTGCCAGAGTATGGGGGTACACGGATGGAGCCTTCTGACCAACAAAAGCTCCAGGTGGGCATTTGGAACCCTTGCTTTCCTTGAGCTGGCTTGGGGTGGGGCTACATGCTGTTCACGTGGAGGAAACGGGGCCTCTCCGGAGTGTGGGTTCCTTCCTTCATGGTTTCTGTTCCAAACACTGTGTTCTGCAGCTCAGTCAGAGCAGGCTGGCAATGCTGTGCGGGACTGCCTAACAGCAGTGACCAGGGCCTGAAAGGGCTGATGGGAAGGTCTCAGGACAGTTTCTGTCGATTGACTTTAAACATCAATGTCATAAAACGTCTCGAAACTCGGTGTCTGTTGCTTTTTAATGGTCTCAGTACACCACATACTTTGGTTCCCCAGGGTATAGGCCAGCAAATCAACTGGAGTGTTTTAAAGGTAGGCAGGCTACCTGCTTTTTCAAACCCAGCTCTCACCTCCCAGGTGGTTTTCTTTTACTTGTAGCCAACCACTGAGCTTGCAGCAAGAGCAGGATGTAGGTACAGCATGGGTATGAGTAAGCAGCAGTATTTCCAGTTGGGAGAAACCGGCAAGTGCAAGACTGGGGTAGGTGCTTTGTTTTCTTCTTGTATAACCCAGATTAAGAAAAATGATCTAATGGAAGTTAAATTTTAGCCTCTTGGACCCTTTGATCTGAAGACGTTCAACAAGATCCCAGTATATCACCACCGCCACCCCACCCCAGGGGTACAAGATCTGGTTTGGCTTCATGAGCCCCAGAGGTGTTGGGCCAAATGGCCAAGCACTGTGGCCCCATGTTCAGAAACTGAAGGCTTCCATGGACATAAGCCAAAAAAGAATGCTTCACCCTAACACAGCTGTTAGCAGCGCTTTGTGAGCATCGTCATTAATGGGAAGTCAGTGGGTCGGGACTTTCAGCTTTTATTTCTCTCATTTGTAGTTCATGCCATGGAAGCAAATTTTGGAGGAGAATGGCCATTATAAAACAGTGAAAGTTTAAATTTTTAGTTTTCTGGCTGTCAATTTTAGTATCAAAATTAAAACTAAAAAACTGGCCAAGACAGTGGAGTTACAGTGGATCTATCTGGACTGCTCGGGAAGAATTTTAGTAGAGGGCATTTGAAAGCACATCTGTGCATATTACACAAAAGTTAACTTTTTGTTCTTTGGCTTCTATTAGTGCAGGTGTGTCTGTTGATCGTATAGCAATTCCCTGGGAATACATATTGTGTCAGATTATTTAGATCTGAATTCTCGGTGTTAATGACAAGGATCACACAAGCCAGCCAGGGGACACTGAGGTCTAATACTCACTCGCCTAACACCTGGGAGCAGCTGAGCAAAGACCTCGGCTAGGGTCCTCAAGGTGTCATTGTGTACATTTATTGGGACTAGAAGTAAAAACTGACAGGTAGATGTTGAGCACAGGAACAAGAAAGTACTGAGCTTAGGCAAGCTAGCCTTGGAGACAAATGGGATATAGCCTGGGAAGCTGCTGCTTAGAATCTTGTGCTGGCCTGTTAAGCTTTGTGAGTGATGGCTGCTGACTCCAGTGAGCTATTTTGGATTTTGCACACTCCCCAAGTTAATTACCCAGGTCTTAACCTTACTGTTGAGGTATCCTTTTCTCTAAGGATCACATCACACCACCAGAACTCTGCCTAACGTTATTTCAAGCCTTTGACTTCCAGACACCTGTCTCTTGTGTTGGGTGTTTAGTGTTGATGTTAGGGAGAGGAGATCTAAGTAAACTCCCTAAACCTAGGATTATTTAAAGGGATCCTAACCAACTATTTGGTCCCTGACTTTCACAAGGCTTTAGGCCTTGTTAGTTTGTGAAAGTAGCTTTAGTGAAATAAGGCAAACCATCTGCTGGTGAATCTGAAGATGAACCAGGGCTGGAACTCTATAACAGGTCTCCACATACCTACAGGAGGTGGGGGGACACACACGGTTAAGTGGGCCCTTTTCAGAAGTATCTCAGATAATGTTGGATTAAGACAGTTTTGTTTGGAAATTTGTGGAGGTCATGGCATATAAGCATTAACTAAGACATGAAGAGACTTAGGTGACCAAGTAAATTACTCTGCTCAAGCAGTGATTTTTCAAGTTATTCCTGGAAAGTCCTAATTTGAAATGTGTGCCTGTGTGTTATGTTACATTATTTATTGTCTAATCTCTGCCATAAAACTGTGGTTTGGGGTTCTGTTGTCTTACCTTCAGGTGTAGTCACTTGTTATAACGGCCCTCAAAGGGGAATTTTTTTAGTTTGTCGGTGTCAGTATTAAATGTGAACTTTGGTCTGAGACAGGATGCCGGCCACATTGACAACAGTGGGCACTTGATGCCCAACCCTTTGATGCCCCTAATGTAACAGCAGTGTACCCAAGCGCATAGACTTGTACTACACTATCTACATACTTAGTTGTTTGCTTGTATTGGGGGTAACCTATGATAAGGAGCCAAGAATTTTAAGGGCTCTTGTTAGTGTTTACTCTGCAGAAAAAAAACTAACCCTTTGGAGAATTGCCACCAGAGCAGCCTTCCTAACAACACCTGGCTCTAGGATCGCTGGGCCAGGCTTCACTTGTATGGATCTAAGGAGACTGGAGTCCAGATATTGTTAGCCGCTCCCAGGACCAGTGGCCAGTGCAGTGGAGAGTAAGTGGGCAGTGCTTGGAGGTCCAGGAATATGGCTCCGCTGGCTGAGCAGATGCCTTGCAGGCTTCCTTTGACCCACATTCCTTCGGTCCACAGCTAGAGGATGAGGCTTCTGCAGTGTCTTACCTTTGAGAGCATCTTTGTCAAGCCAGCCCCAACAGGCAGGGCTGGAGTGGACTTCCTCGTGTGCCTCCTGCCAGTGTGCACTTCTGCGCGGCCAACCCTGGGCCACTCTCCGCGGTGTGCGTGAGCAGGCTTATAGACGGTCTAACTGAATGAATGTACATGTGTTTATAGCTCCTCTGTGTACAGTGTATATAGTGTGCTTATGTGTATATAGATGTATATTATGTATTCAGACATGTAGCCACATATCCGAACTTTTCTTCCTTTTTTATGCCTTGTTTCTCCCCACCACCACCCCACCACCCAAATAGAGTCTGGTGAAGCTCGCGTAAATTGACAAAGATGTTTCAAGGCCCCTTGGCAGGGGGGATTTGCTGGTGAGCTTCTTAAATCAAGTTCCCTCTTGGTAAGCCAGGCTGGGAAGGGCCATTAAACCAATTAAAAGATAAAGACTCACCACTTTGCACAGGACAGAAAAGGTTCTGACAGGGCGACACATCTCTGTGGTCTCTAGGTTCAGGAAGCTGGAAGAGTTCACTCTAATGCCCATAGGCGGTGACTTTAACCTGCTTCCACATGCCTATTTATGGCCTCGCTATTGGGAACTTAGTAGCTACAGCCACCATCGACGTTTTCAGACACTTCGCACATGAATGGTCGAGAGAGTGTAGAGTCCAAGACCCAGAATGGTCCGGTGAGGGTGGGGATGAGGGGGTACTTAACTCTATCCCAGGTGATGGAAATGTCCCACCTCCCAGTGATCAGTCAACAAGAGGTGGGATCATCCTGTGACTCAATGAATATAAATTCCCCACCTGTTTCACACCAGATAATCGTCTTTAAAAGTAAACATGAATGTTGATGGTTCACTTTTATGGCATATAAGCTACAAATCTTTAAAACTGCTTCCCTAAATGTAAGCATGTGAATGAAATCCATTAACTCAACACTTTTCTGTAAATTATGATTTAAATTTTTTCAGTTAAAAAATGCATTTTATATGGATATTTGCCCTTGAAGCTACAGATGCCAAATTTTCCTTATCCAGGTCTGTTCTGATGAATTTTCTCCCTTAATCAGGCCTTAAACTGGGGACACCACCACCACCACCCACTCCCAGGAGGCAGTGCCCAGTCCCCAGGGAGTGCCTGGGAGGCTGGATGAAACCATCCTGTAACACACTGGTTGCTTTTCTTCTTTCAATCTATCTGAGTTTCTGACACACTTCAAGAGCCCATAGTACTCAGTGCCTTTTGTGAGACAGTAGGCCATCGTCGTCTTCAGCATCCCTCATTGTTGATGCACAGAAAGCTTCTGTTATCACTGGCTCCATCTAACAGCATTCTCGACCTTCACTTGTTATTCCCTGTCCTGACAATCACACACTATTGAAGGTGGCTTTCCATTCAAAGTACAGACAGAATCCTTAAATCTCTATGTCAGTCTCTGAAATAACAATGTCACCTGCAATCTAAGAATAAACTGAGGTTAAACGAGAGTGTTGGGGGCAAGAGGGAGGTCTATGAGACTTTTTTTAAGCCCAGCTAGACTTTCAAGTTACAAACCAGTGGCTTTAGCATCTCAAGATTTACACATGACAGAAAAACTACTCAGCAACCTTCACCACTAAATTTACAGACTGTGTTAGAGTTTAATATTTGGGTAGCATTTGGAAGCCGTCGGCTTTCTATTTAAAATGGCTTTTCTTTAGGAAAGCATAATCAGCTATCATTTAATGACCATAGCGTTGACCATAGGTTTGTGACCTCAAATGCTGCTGCCACATACAACTCAAGTGCTGGAATATTTTTCTACCGTCTCTCCGTTTCCAATTATCTTGTAAACCAGTGTTCAACTAGTTTTATAACTAAAAGCTGCACATTTTTCATAGTACAAACTGTAGTTTTTACTTGTAGTTTGGATCTCTTAAAATGTAGCTGTATTATCAGCCCTCTTAAGACATCTGTTAAAGGAAAATTTGGATGTTATAATTTTCTTGGGACCGTTCTGTAACCTCTGCCCTTTACAATATAGAAAATAGTTTATGCCATTACATTTTAATTCCAGGTTTAAAACCTGTTGAAAGCTATAGCTTTCCACAGCTTCTTCCCCCGTTAAATCAGCTTTGTATGTGTGATGGCATTTAAAAAACAAGCATGTTCTTTTTAAACTGAATTTTATATCTAATCAATGTCTTCAGTCTTGAAGAAATTGCATTGTTGTGTTTGTATATGGAGTATTGCAGTGCATGAATTAGCTTTATGCATTTTATTAAATGCTGTTTCAATGTGGCATTACTGTTGTGGCTTAATACTACTACCTAAATGAGGTTTATACTATTAAAAGTGAATTAAAAACTAATGTGTACCTTTGCTCATCATTTCTCTTCTTGATTGTAGTCACAGAAATCGCTGGATACTCTCAAAGACTCATAACTGTCCTGTGATTTTACAAATGAGGGATCCGAGGTCCACAGTCTGAGTCCTGCCTAAGCCCCTGGCAGCTACTGAATAAAGCTGACAAGTCAAAATCACTTTTTTTTTTTAGATAAAATTGTGCAAATTATAAAATCTTAATGGCAGCCTTCCAATTTCCATTTCTATAAATTTAAAAGTCATCTTCCTAAACAACAGAAAAGGGAAAGCAGCATTTTAAAGGGATACCAAATGCCCTCTAAGATTTGTCACCTTGTGAGCAGGCACCCTGGCAGAGCTCACTATCGGACTCCACCTGACAGCCCAAACTCATGGCTCCTGCCCCATCAGGAACCTTGACATGGGGAGGAAGTTCAGGGATATTGAGCTGCTTTGCACCAGTCTGGGCTTCCTTTGGGCCACAAAGGGAAAGACTACTTCCCCTCTCACTAGCTATGGAGAATTATAAATAGTGCTTTCTGAAGAGCTCTTACAGCCAAGCAGGAGCTCAGTCAGCTGGACTAGAGGTCAGGGCTGTAATCATGAGGTTATGAAAAAAACTACAGAAATTCAGAAACTGCAGCCAGCAACTACCAAAGGGATTATGCCGGAAGACAAATTTTTTTCTTCCTACTGAAGTGATGATGGGGGTGGGGGAGAGAGAACTGCAAGGCCGCCTGCCCAGGGGGCACCATCAGTGGGAAGGGCAGCCTCTTCTCAAAGCCAGGAGCTCTCCAGAGTGCCAAGGCAACTTGTTTCCTCTGCTGCTTTGTGTAATTCAGTCGTCAGATCTCTAATCCCAGGTTCGATAGACATGGTTGAGATATATAAATATTATATTAACGTCGAGAGCATGAGAGATTAAAGGGAGTCAAATAATGGAGTCAAACACATCGTATGGTAGCAATGCTCACCTCAGCCCCACTTAGTGGTCCACGTGGGGAGAGGGGGAAGGGAAGGAGGACAAGGAGAAAGGGAGGAGATGGAGCTGAGGAGAGGTCAAGGGGGGAGCAGAGAGAGAGGATGAGAGATCTCTTGCTAACCCAGGCCTATATACCTTTGGAGGCCTGCAAGCCCACTAATTACACAGGTAAAGACATACGTCACAGGAAGGGGTTGCACTATAGGTTATACAGTAATGGAAGGGGGTGGTCTAGGAGCATACATGCAATAGAAAGAGGAGGGGTTGGGGGTATACATAACAAGATGGGCAGATCCTAGATTTAGGATGGCAGCTTAACTTTGACCTGGTCTCAGGGTCTCCATAGGAACCATTATCAGTAGGGTGTAAACCCCACCCACAGGAACCAAATAGATGACTGCAGGCCTGTCCATTGTACCCAGCAGCATGGCGCAGGGCCTACTCCTTGGTGACTGTCTTCAGGGAGAATGTCTGTAAGCATCTGACCTCCCCCCACAGGTACAGTCTTGGCTAAATCTTCACCACTTGGTGGCCCAGCTTGTCTTCCACTCTGGACCACAGATTCCCAAACATCAGATGTACAGCTTCCCTTTCAGGGAAAAAAATAATTAACTCAGCCCCCTCCTAGCAATTAAGACTTTGTGCTATAGCCTATTATCCGTGATAAAGTATAGGTATCTGTCAATTATTAACTGTGGTGATTTTCATGTTGTGATTTGCTGAAAGCTTTGTCACTGGTATTTCAAATACCAGCAGGGTCACTCAAAGTGACTAGGCTAAGAACAGACTACAGTAGAAGGAATAGGCTGTCCAACTTCAGAGCAATCAGCCACTGAAAACCTTGTTAATAGCAGTGGATAGTCAAGCCTGTGGGAGTAAAGCCTTCATTCAGGACCTTCATTAGCTGATGAAGCACAACTAGAGATGAGAACGTACAGCTGCAAAATCCTAACAATACCAACAGGTAAGACCATATGAAACGGAGAAAAGATGGAAGCAAGGATTTCACCTTGCTTAGAAACAATCTATGCTCATGGAAGCCACACTAAAACGATGCATTGGGTAAATCCACTGCACAAGACCTTTGAAGTGTTGAAAAGCAAGGACGTTGCTTTGAGGACTGAAGTGCATCTGTGGCATTTTTCAATCGCCTCATATGCATGTGAAAGTTGGACATTGAATAAGGAAGACTGAAAAATCAATGCATTTGAATTATGGTCCTGGCAAAGAATATTGGAAGGACCATGGACTACCACCACAACAAACTAATCTGTCTTGGAATAAGTACAGCCAGACTGCTCCTTAGAAGCAAAGACAGTGAGAATTCATCTTTCATACTGTGGACATATTGTTGAGACACCAATCCCTGGAAAGGACATTAAGCTTGGTAAAGTAATGGTCATTGGAAAAGTGGAAGGCCCTTGACAAGATTGATTTTGAGGGTGATGTAG